GAGTTTTAAAATACGGAGAAGTATATATATATATATATATATATATATATATATATATATATATATATATATATATATATATATATATATATATATATATATATATATATATATATATATATATATATATATATATATATATATATATATATATATATATATATATATATATATATATATATATATAGTGGATTGGGAAAGTCAAACGCCTCCTTTCCATTTCTAAAAAAACAAATTTCTCTCATAATCATGGCGGAGCAGCTCGATGCTAGCAGAGATGGTAATATGTAATCGGATTATAGTTCCTATTTCAGATTATTATTTTTTTTGTTTCAATTCCGAAATATTTCCGTAACGTTTTACAACTTCATTTCAGGGGAAAAGAGAGGCCGCTGGGGAGCGGTTTGGGATGTTCGCACACAGATTTTGATCACGGCAATGTGGCGCCGCTGAACGGTGCGGAACCGGGAGGAACCCCCAGATGTGGTGGCAATTTGGCCGGAGCTTGTTTTACGCAAGCATGAGAAAGAAGTTGGTTTCGGTGAATGCCATGGGCTGAGACAACAACGTGCCAGACTCTAACGACATTTGGGGTATTGAGTAAGACACTAATTCGTCTAGGTCTGCAGTTCTACTAAAGTATTAATTTGTTAACATCACAATTTAAAACATTTAAAACTTTATTTGAAATGATCATGCAAAATATTTTGGAATGACATCCAAGTATAATTATTTAAAACAGTGTCGAAGCAATTTGCAAATTACAACATTATGGTCAACCCATAATATAACATGTGATCAATTCATTTATTCAAATAGTAAATTTGTGTACGTTCTCACATCGCTTCCATCTCAATACCCTACAGGATGTGCTCCATATTTATTCTCTCTTATATTTACATGTAGAAAGATGAAAAAGTCTACACGTTCAGCAATGATGCTGAGTGGTACCATGGCACAAATGAAGAATTTACAAAATAATTTCTGTTAGAATATCAATCATATATATCTGTTCAAACATTCACTTTTTTCACATTAAAAATCATCTTTGTTATTTTGGTAATGAATCTAGTCAATTCAAAATATCCATTTTTCAGAATTGTACAAATGTCAACCCATCCATAGCTCACAATAATCACGTGTCATTTTTGTTTTCACAATATTCATTATTTATCATGCATAACTTTATATCACAGTTAATCATAAATAACTACTCTTAACATATTCTAGGCTAAACCTAAATCATAATAGTGCTCTTAAATTGTTTTTAGTCTAAAGCTAATTCATATTGATAACGAGACTCGTAAACTATTACTCCCACCGTCCCAAAAAGTCTTTCCTATTTCATTTTTTGCGCATCCCATAAAACACTTCTACCGACATCTAGAATGTCTAAAATTTACAACATTTCTTCTTTATTGTGGGTAGAAGTTATTTTGAAAGTTTTTTTGGCATTCAAGGCGGGATAGAAGTGTTATATGGGATACACAAAAAATGAAACAAAAAAAACTTTTTGGGACGGAGGGAGTACTAATTAAAGGCTAATTGATAACGAGACTCTTAAACAATTACTCCCTCCGTCCCGGAAAACATGGGAGTTTTGATTTTGAAGAGCGATTTAAGGAGAGTGTATTTTGGTATTGAATTTCCAAAAATGTCCTTTGATGTGATGGGTAAAAGTATGATTTGATGGATAGATTATTAGTAAAAAGGTATGATGTGATAGGTAGGGTATGAAAAAGTAAGGGGTAAAAGTGACTTTTTTAATAGAAATGAAAAGTGTTTTTAGGAACAGATGAAAAAAGAAAGGAGAAAGGTTTTCAGGGACAGAGGATGTATTAGTTAATGCAAATTTATTGATAACCAGACTTTCAAACTATAACTAGTTTAAGGAAAATTTATTGATAATCAGACTCTAGAATTATAAATAATTTAAGACAAATTTTATTGATAACCAGGCTCTTAAACTATACGTAGTTTAAGGTAGAAAATCAAACATCGGACTACACACTGCCGGGTTGGGTGGTACCCCAAATGAATATATACTCAAGTTTGGTTTATGGATCTCGTACGTGCGTTTTAATCTGAGCCAACAGATATCATATCCGCAAAGGCTAACTAATTTGGTTACATCGGGTGTATCTTAGAATTCTTCTAGATAGCCCTAATCATTAATTTAGTTTAACAATTTCATATATGTAATCATTCAAGATACCTTTAACATCAATTTATCATAAAAATTTCATTATTCACGATCATAATTATTCTATAGATAATCATAAAAACCTATGGTTATAGCCATAATTTCAATCACAACTATCATATGGTTTATTTTGTTCATAATAATATTTTGATATTTAAACAAGATAAGATCTTCATCATTATTATGTAATCATATTTAAACAAGGAACTATTTCAATCGTCATAGTCAATATATAATTAATAATAATCATCATCATATAATATCTTTGAAAAGAAACGGTATAACGTTTTAGAATAAAGTAGCAAAAATAGCAATAATTGCAATGATAGCAATAATAATTTATAGTTGAAAAGTAGCAAAAATAGGATTTTAGAGATTTCAATTTTGGAGTTTTCGGTGCAAAAACAGTCTGATACGGTCGACTATTTTCTAGGTACCGTTCAAACGGTACCCACCTTTCTTATTCGCCATAAAATAAGTTTTACATTTTTCTCAAATCGTTTTAGTGAAAGGATTATATAACCCAGTAACAATCCACTGATTTTAAAATAAATTTCAATTAAATATTTTTCATTTTTTTCTTAAAACAGGTGAAGTTACGATTTCCTTTTTTTTGGAACAAAGGGTGAACTCCATGTTTAAATTTGTGTGCTATTATTAACTCTATTACAACATTATTTATGTTCATACATTTTCAACCTAATGACGCACAGTGAGTAGTGAGTTAGTACCTTCGTTGGAAATCAAATCTTGGTGAGTTTACTTACCTAAATTTAACATTTTTTTAGGGTAACCTAAATGTAACACTTGTTCGCAATACTCAGTGCACATATTTATATTAGGCCTGTTTGCGAATGACGTAAGAAATTAGCATTAGCGTTTTGAAAAGACTATCTACGGCCAGCGTTTAGCGTTAGCTTTTTCAAAGTAATCTGCACCGTTAAAATTTTATCCAAAACGCTAACGCTATTCTCAAACAGGTTCATTGTCTTATAAACAGTCTCAGCTTCCCAGTCCAAATGTATGTATATATAGTGTTGAGTGTGGATCATCAGTTCAATTTTGAATGGTTGCTTGTGCTGGTGGCGTTGTATAATTGGCAAGCCAAAGAAATAACTAGGTGATAATATCTGAGTTCGATTCCTAGTAATTGTGTTGATATACAATTATGTTAAGCATATGGACTTTGAAATATTATGTACATAATCCAATTTTTGCCATCAAACTATTGTTTAAATCTAATTTATCTCTTCACGGATAAGTATCTGACGGGTTCACATGGTCAGAGTTCTTCTTTTCTTTCTTTTTTTTTGAATGGCTATTTGTGACTCCATGATTGCTGGACAAGATGACAAGTGATGTGGTCCCTATTACAATGGGTCTTCAACGATTCCTTAATTAACCAGCAATTAGCCCCAAGCTTATCTAGCATCAACACAAAATGACCCCACTAGAGGATTGTAAGAGAAGTCCTGGGTGGTGAGATGCTTAATCATATGCAGCTATAACTGGCAAACCGTGTTTGAATTCGGTAACTTTGGATTTGGATTATAACAGGTTTGGGTGAGTTTGGATAAGAGTTTGAATCATGTTCAGAATCCAATATTATCGGGTTAGGATTAATCTAATGACTTGTAAACTTTAGTTTTTATCTACTTAAACTCACACTATCCCTTTTTAGTTTAAATTTTTAAGAATTTTTTTGGATATATAGAGCAATATCATACATAATGTAAATAGTTGAAATATGCAAACACAAACATTTCCCATTTGAGTAGAATAAAGCTTGAAAACCCTCCTTTGCACACTACACGCAAACACATACACTTATTATTTGTAACACACAGATAATAATTGTTTGTATTTGTATATGGTGTGCAAAGTGAAATTCCTCTATCTATAGTTGGGTGGTAGTGAGGGTACAATAAAAATAGTAGCTCTAATACGGCCACGTCAGTGACACATCAAAGTTAAGACTCAGTAACTTTTTTAAACATGTCATGCTCCGTATAAACAATAAACCTACAACATCAAACAACAACATTACTCAGTGCATCAATGGCTCATGCCCATTGCGGGTGGGGTAAGGGGGTCGGATGTACGCAGTCTGACCCCTATGTTTAAAACATAGAGCAGATGTTTTCAGATGATCCATGATGAGCATCGAAAGTTAGATTGACTAAATGCTACTTCACAATTGCAAAAAGCGCAGACAGTTTAATGAGTCAATTTGCTTTATTCTATCATACTGCAAAACCAAAAAATAGTGAATCTTTGGCTCCATAGGAGAATGGAAATAATAAACCTACAACATCAACTTTAACAAAATACTTACTTTTAAAATATGTAATCTTTCATGAATCTCCTACTTGGATTAAACTTTTTGGCTAAGCTGGTTCTTTAGGAATGACCCAAAAACTAATTGTGATGATGAAGAGCATATATGGATGGACACTACATATCTCCCATCCACACTTTATTCGGATCAATCATGTTGTTGTTCACACGTTGTATATAGTACACAAAACACAGATACATACATAACAACTGTACTACTGTCCAGCTTGAAAAACAAATCAAAACAGAACATGGGTGTGTGGGGCTTTGTTTTTTATCATTAATTAATAATGGTCTTTAGGCAGCCAACAAATGTGGTTTTCTTGTTACTATAATATTAATGCATGTTCAATGCGGACAACTTTTAGCTGAATCGCGTGATAACAGTGACAGCTTCTTGTTTGCTTTGGTAAAAGGTTATAAAAAGGGTCTTAAATAGTCACAGAGGCCAAATCTGTGGTAAATTCTTTTTAAGTTTTAATCTTTACCAAGTTGCCCATGGGGGTGAAACACAATCGTACTGCCCAAGATGAACCAACCTAGGAGAGTCAAGAAGCTAGTCTAACCTACTAAAGCAAATTAAATCAGGTCGAGTCTGGTTAAATTCAGCTCGACCTGACCAATTTGATCCATACAGATATATACAATTGGGTTGAGTCATTTGTTCCATTGGATATATTTTTTAACCATTTCAAAGCAAACCCACCAAACCGGGTCGCCAATTGAATCCGTGAACCGTGACTCAATTGGCACGGTTCAACTTGTTACAATTGCAACCTGAGATGACCAAATTTCTGCTCAAGAAACTGAAATATGATACATACTTGGAAAGAATTATAGGCACCAATCAATCTGGTTAAAACAAGAAACAAAGAACTAAAAAATCGCCTAATCCCATTCCATGTTAATTTATGTGGACAATCAGATTCCCTGTCAAGGTGAAGAAGCCAATGGAAGTACCTGTGAAGGAGTTGAATGGTGAAGTGGTAAATGTTGGTGTTGAAGATCACTTTCTTTGCTCTTATGAGCAAGAAATGACATAAAGGAACCAACTTTACACTCATCAGCCACAACAGGGGGATTAAAGGTGAAATCTTGAACTGGGCAACTTTTCTCCACCAGTCTTTTGATCAGCTTCTCCTCTGCATCTCTCAAGAACTTGAACTTGGGCGGGGGAGACGATCTCAGCCGATGGATCTCCGCGTCCGTGGACGATTCGAAGAGCGGGTTGTAGGAATCTAAGTGGAGAAGGGGCTTTGATGGGGGTGAGGACATGGGGGTAAAAAGGTCACTCAAGCTCTTGTTTCTTGGTCTCCCATCCTGAGATTCCAAATCTTCATTGGTTTCTTCAGCAATGGTGAAGAGGAATCTTGGAGGCCCACAGAGGTTGTGAAGCCTCATCAGCTCTGCTTCCACACTCTCTTCTCCTAAACCCTTGAGCAGCGAATCGCTGCTCTTCCTCAACTCCAAGTCAATCTCTGGGTTGACCTCTTCTCCATCTCCTCCTCCTTCTTCTGCCTCTGTTTTCCTGGAAATTCTGCAGCGGAGAAGAAGAGAAACCCCATTGGAGCTTTTGGATTCTTGATTGTTCTTCTCGCCGCCATGGATTCTCCTCCTGGCATAGAACAAATAATAACCTGCGGCAATACCCATCACAATAAAACCTACCGAAAAGGTCAAACCGATTATTAGACCGCTGAAAGATGCCATCTTTTTGCCTGTAAAGAAGAACTCCAGTGCATTCAAATTCAACAGATTGAAACCACAGCGCACTGTTTTGACCAAATTGTGTGGAAATTCACATGGACTGTGCGGTGGCAAAAATCTTCGATCCGAAGCAAAAAATCCAATAGCGCACGAATTATTTGGATTGAGAACGCAGGTAGAAAGAAAAGGACGAAGAAAAAGTGAGGGGGTGGGTGATTAAAGAAAAACCTCCGACCCACATAAACTGCCACCCCCACAATAACTTGCACCGGAGAAGAATTCAACTGGAAATCTTTTGCCTAGACTTGATGAAACCAAAAAATTAATTCCGGGCTATTAAATTTTGTTGAAATAAAACTAGGATATTTTGATCAATAAATAATTGTGAAATTTGCCCTGAATAAGACTAAAACATAAGTCATTTCTTAATGTAAGACTTAAACTTTTTTTATTTTTTAAATAAGACCTAATATTACTGGTGAGAAGAATAATAACCAAGTGATGATGGACATTTAGTTAAATAATGATTAATAGATAATGATCAATATCCCTACATTAGGAAATAAAAACATACTACCTCCGTCTCAGTGTATTTGTCCAGTTTGACTTTTTCGAGTCAAACTGGACAAACTTTGAACTCCAATTACTCTCAATAAATATTGCATATTAGCATAATGAAATATAATTTTTCAATACGATAAATCCAATAAAGTCATTTTTATGTTAAAATACATTACTGTTTTTATTTAATTAAAGTTCAAAGTTTGTCGAATTTGACTCGAAAAAGTCAAACTGGACAAATACACTGAGACAGAGAGAGTATGATCCTATTTTGAGAAAATCATTATGTTCTACAAAACAAGAGCTGACAAGAATATTTTATTTTATTAAATATTTAATGAAATTGCATAAATAAACAAAAGTTATCGAGAGGAGAGAAAAAAATTGCAATCTATTGAGGGACGGAGAGAGTACATAACGAGAAGATGCTCTAGAAGCATACTTGAACAACCCAAAAAGTCCTAGGATGTGCCCTTAAAGTCCCAAAAATAGAAGACAAAAAGTCCTTATGAGGTCAAATGTTCAAAACTTGTTTCGAGTTAACCAAATTAAAAATGTGGTTAATGAGGTTTTTCGCCTGATTTGATCTATTCAGATTTTTTAAAAATCTGATCTGGTTTTGGTCTGATATGATCGAATATGATCTGATCTCATTGCACTTGTAATTAAAATTGTTTATGATCTGATCTGGTCCGATGTGATCTGATCTGATTATAATAAGAATAAGTAATAAGCAGAAAAAATAAGTTGAACATAAAGCTGTCTGAGCATAGTAGATGATAGTTTGCTACCCCTAGTAAACGATTGTTTACTTTGTTCGGGTAATTTGGTCTAATTTATGAGGCTCTGATTTTACCTATAATTACAGCCCCCCCCCCCCCCGTTCTACACCATTTTCTATAGTTAGATTTTGGGCTATTAGAGTCTTAGGGGCTGTTTGGCAACTTCTGAATAGGTAAGTGTTGAACCAGTAAGAAGTCTGAACCATTAAGTGCTGAACCAGTAAGAGGTCTGAACCATTAAGAGCTAGTATATTGCTTAACTATTCAGAGGCAAATGTCTTATCAATTCAGAAAAGATGTCTTAACCATTCAGACTCTGTATAATACTTAATCATTCAGAGGCAAATGTCTGAAGCATTCAGACATCTGAACCATTAAGAGGCTCAAACAAACAGTCTGAACCATTAAGTCCTGAACCATTCAAACATCTGAACCATTAAGAGGTTGAAACAAACAGCCCCTTAATCTTAGAACAATTTTATTTTCAAGATCTAGATATGCTTTTATAGCATAGTAGTTGTGAATTGTGATACCATGCCCAAGTGTACCAATCAACCTTTGGCTTTTTGTTACTCCGTATATCGGATCTGCCATCGTTATTCAGATGAAATTCTTTCTTAAAAAATCTTAATTTTTTTTGTTTATACTCATTGTGCTACCCAATATACTTTTATGAAATCTTTAAAATATCTATTTGTTATAGAAGCTATATATGTTGAATATCATTCTTGAAAGTAGTTGTTATTTCATAATGTTCAAGTAGTGTAGTAAGTGATAGGATCCAAATCGTTCTGGCCTAATTAAGCTAAAGCTCTCGGATATTTATTTTAATGGTTGGATATAATAGTGGTCTAGGAAAGCTTTTTCTAAATTAAAAAAGTACGAATTTATTAATGAAATCTTTGAGATTAATTTTAGCTATCCGTCTAAAAAATAATTACTATTCACATTTCAAACTAACTCCACTTGCTTTATATATTTTCATTGACTATTTGATAAAATAATACAACATTGTCACCACTTGTTTTATAAAACTTTTGATGTTTTTAAATATATATATACTCCGTAATTTTTTATTTTTTAAATTTACACCAAATTTTTCTTATTGTTTTGAAAATAACTTTAATTAAACATCGACAGAGAGAAGAAGTATTAACTTAAAACGTGACACAACAAGTTACTTAAATGAAGACTTGGCTCTTCGCCTCATCCTATTATATACTCCCTCCGTCCACCTAAGATGTTCTCATTTTGACTTTTTGTGGTTTTTAAGGAGAGTTGAAAAAAGGTGAAAGTTTACCATAATACCCTTAATGAAAATGGGTGGAGTGTATTAAATGAGGTGGGTGAGGGGTAATAAATAAAGTAAGTGTGGGTAGTTGTGGTATTTTAATTATTAAAAAATGAAATGAGAATATCTATTATGGACAAAGAAAAAGGGCTATTGGGAAGATCTATGGGGGACGGAGGGAGTATATCCTCATACTCTTTCTATCTTTATTTTATCATTTTTATTGGTTAGTTAATCTCCAAATACTTATTATCTGAAATTAAGTTCTTGATAACCTACAATGTTCAACTCAAGACTTGCTCTTTCAATCTCCTTATTTTAACGTTTATCTAAAAGAGTTTCCAACAAATCATGCTAGCCTATGTGTGACTAGTAAGAGAGATTAGCCTAGACCCTTTGTCCATTATATTTCTAGATAGACGCGATATTCGGGAACAAACCGACCATTCGGGAAAAGGTCATTTTCGTTTCACCATGATGTCAAAGAGATTGAATTTATACATTTTATGGGCTTCGTGAAATACAACTCTTCTAGGACCCTTCTTCCAATTTGTTATTTATACTACGCAAAACTTGTGTATGACCGACGTGCTAGGTCGGATCTGTGTCATTATTTCTTCTTTTAATGTGTGAGCTTGACCGGTCAACAATTGTTGCTACTCGCTTTATTTGATATGGTTTGGTTTGGCCAAATATGACAATCACTTATATAAAGTGTTTAGGCCAATAATTAAGTGTTTAGGCAAATTATAGCCCTGACCCGATATTAGCCTTCTTAGTTAGTTATTTGCAAATTATTTATCGCCTTCTTAATTACTTGCTTTCATTGGGCGAAAAAAACTTGGCTACCCACTTGAAAATAGCATGGGCCAAAGTTGTTATATATCATGGTACTTCTTCACCCATTGTTGGTAGTTGTTTATCTTTGATTCAACCATCATCCTTTGTTCTTCAGCTATGTGATATTCCTCGTCCTGCTTTAATTGGAAATTGACCACCCTAAAAGTGGGTAATTGTACTCAAGGATGGCAACAGGTCGAGTTTGAGTATATTAAAACCCGACATGACTTAGGTCGGGTTCGGGTTTGATTCTGGCAAGTCAGTTTCGGATATTTATTTTTTCATTTAATATTTATTTTTTCATATTTGGTTTAAGATTTGGTTGGGTCGGTTACGGTCAAATACGGGTTTGAATACTAATAAATGTATTCATGAAATTTTTAAGATTAAAATACATTAAAAATTTAAAATTTTAAAGACGACTATAAATTTAAGATATTAACAGCAATAATTATGACCCTTAAAAAAATAGTAAGTTTCAAATAATAATATACGGAGTACAAAGAAAATAACACATGTATGACACACAGGATTAAACCACAATAAAAATGAAACACAAAAAATGCAATAAGTTTAAAAACATTAAACACATGTACACCAAAAATACATGGAATATTGGATTTTAGGGTTTTATAACTTATTAAAAGTCGGCTACATGTTGGGTCGGGTCGAGTACAAGTCAATTTGGTCAAATATACTGATCTAAACCCGACCCGACAAAAATCGGGTTCGGTTTATATTTTTTGGGTCGGTTTCAGATATTTGACTTTTCCGTTCGGATTCGAATGGATTGGTAAAAGTCGGATTCGAGATTGCATTGCCATCCCTACTTGTACTTCAATTGGGTAATCTTGCTTCAAACCCATAGTTAAGGGTAATGGGGTTCCTCCCAATCTCTTCTCTGAGAAGTTCACCCTCTTCGGTCTCATCACAAATGAACAACTAGAATTGTTTACCTTGACAATACTCAATTTTTATCCATCAATTGAGAGATTTATCGGAAATATGAACCATCAATTATTCAATATGAATACTGCATGTGCCTTAATTGAACCAATGTCATAATATGACATTGAAACTCAATAACAAAAGATCCTTCTTGAAAAACAAATTAAAATTTGTATTTACTAAATATAAATACCTAGTATGGAAATCTTGTGTGCATTGAATTGAAAAATTGAACAAAAATGTTCTCAAATGAATTCAAAATTGGAAAAAAAAAGGAGCTAGTTCATGCGAATTCCATGTAGCATTCATCAAAAAGGGATTTACGAGGTGCAAAAGCAGTTTAGCAAACAGAGCAATAATAGTAGGCGCACAAAATCTGAGGACAAAGATTATAGACTTTCACTTTCACAAGTGTTACTTAGCCAAATTATTCGTTCCCGAGGAAGAGAATCATTATTCAAGTTCTTGAAAATGCAACGGCCGTCTTTCATTAATACTTTTGTCCCTAGTTCAAAATGTAATCACATGTTGATTCTTCACTCTCTAACTTTTTGTTTAGATGAGGAGAAGAAAATGAAAAAAAAAATATAAGAAGAAAGAAAATGATACCGAGTAAAAAAAATAAAATGAAGAGAAAACCACGGAAAAAAAGTTGTACTTTGTAAAATATATAAGATGAGATAGGCTAATGAAAAGTAAGAAATGGAGAGAAAATTGAAAAGAATAATTCGTGTTTAGATGGATAGAATATGAAACAAATAAAGAGAAATGGTGGAAAAAACAATGATTGAAACTTCCTCATTTAAAGGAGAAAGAACATAAATTTAAAATTATTTATTAACTAAAAATATCTATATTTGTATAGTAACAAATAATTATAACTTTCTTTTAAATACACTTGACCGGGTTGACCCGATTTAACCGGTTGGCCCTTGACCCCAGTTACCCAATCCATTTTTCAAAACATCATTTTTTTAGAGGCTTAAGATTTCTTCCCATTTGATTTTTTTTGGTCAAAATTTGTAAACTTTGACTATGATATATGGAAAAAATACATTGTATTACGATATAATTTTAATATGAATATATTCATTTTGAAATATAGTTTTCAAATATCAAATTTTTATAAAATATATTCATACATAAATAAAGATATTAGTGGTCAAAATACAATCTTGGAGTAACATTTAAGGTGTTTTATATTTTACAATGAAAAAATTAAAATGGGAATTAACAAGCTTATTACCTATTCATCCTTTTTTTAAAATGAAAACGGTAGTACAATTTACGTGGTACTGCGGAGTATAAATAAAGTATGAGAAATTTACTTAAATAGCAATAAAACATAATGACTTTCTCTAAATAGCACCACATGTATTTTTCTTTCCAATGTAGCAATTTTAGTCATTATGCAGTAGTCATTTTTCAAGCAAATATTTGACATCACTGGATATTATGGACATTATGAAGTGTTATTTAGAGAATAAAATAATTTAAGTGTTATTTAGGGAAATGACTTAAGTTTTAGTGCTATTTAATGCAAATATTTTATAAAGTATATGGAGTCCACAAAATATTAGAGGGGAAGTATTTTCAAAAAGGGATGGAGCAAGTACTAATATTTAATGCAAAAAATTAAAAAGGGAATTGCCAAGCTTATTAGCCATTCATCCTTTTTTTTATAATGAAAACATGAGTACAAATTACGGGGTAGTGCGGAGTATAAATAAAGGGGCACATCTTCCCCCGGCTCTTTCTTCCCACACATACATGTCACGGACTTTCATCTTCCAATATATATGATGACGGAGGAGGAGAACAGAAACGGCGGCACGGCGGCGGCGGCGGAGGAGGAGGAGGAGCTGCCATCAAACGGGTCCCACCAGAACGGGTCAAGATGGAACCCCACGAAAGAGCAGATCAACTTGCTTGAGAGGTTTTACAACGAGGGAATACGCACCCCGAGTGCGGAGCAGATACAGCAGATCACCGCCGTGCTCAGGGCCTTCGGCCACATTGAAGGCAAGAACGTCTTCTACTGGTTCCAGAACCACAAGGCTCGCCAACGCCAGAAACTCAAGCAACACCACTTCGCCGCCGCCGCCGCCGCCGCCGCCGCCGCGCCTTTCTTTAACCCTTCCCCTTCCCAATACCACCATTTTCCTCTCTATTATAATTTCCCTCCCCAGTCTCGCCCCAATGGTAAGTATGCTCTCTACACTAGTAAATCATACTCTTAATTCATTTCCATATCAAAATAATTGATACTTCTTCCGTCCCGAAAAGTCTTTCTTATTTCATTTTTTTGCGCATCTCATAAAACACTTCTATCCCGCCTTGATTGCGAAAAAAACTTTCAAAATAACTTCTACCTATAATAAAGAAGAAATGTTGTAAATTTTAGGCATTTTAGATGTCGGTAGAAGTGTTTTTAAGAGATGTTCAAAAAATAAAACATGAAAGACTTTTTGGGACGGAGGGAGTAGATTTTTGAATGGGGTATAAAATACTCCCTCCGTTCCACAAAACTCTTCCTCTTTAGTTTTTTTGCTTTCCACAAAACAATTACACTTTGTATTAAAAAATCACTTTTACCCCTATTTTTTCATACCCTACCTATCACATCATACTTTTTCACTAATAACCAAACTATCTCATCTTACTTTTTCCCATCACATTAGGGGCAAAATTGGAAAGTCAACCAAAATTACACTTTCCTTATTTTTTCCCAAAGTCAAAACCGGAAGGGTTTTGTAGAACGGATGGAGTACATAAGTTGATGACTATATTAAAACATTAAATTACTTTGTTCAACTCTTGAATTTATACATCCATTATTTTCTCTTCAAACTTATGATGGGAAACACTTTTGAATTAATGGGTAGGCCACCTACAAATTCATTTCCAATTGGATATGAATTTCCAGACGATCAATCTGATTACATGTTCCGTAGATCTTTGGGTACGGATTTTATATGAACAATTGAGTTATAAAGACTCATCGACTGCTAGATTTAGGCTAGAAGACACTTGAATGGAATTTATTAAAAAATTGAAAATATTAATTCTTGCCGTATAAATTTTATTACGTACTATTTGCAGTTATTTACAGGCCGTACCACGTACCGCCACAGTCGGACTTAGGGTTGTATACAAAAAGCCCAGGGTTGTTCTTTCCTGCAGTGGAAACTCCGGGGTATTTTAGGAAATCACCAAGGATTGACCAAAATGAAAAAGCCGTTCGAGAAGATGAAGAAGAAGAAAGTAAATGTGCAAAAGAAAAGGAGCGGATGCGAGAAACGTTGGAATTATTCCCACTTTGCCCCACGGGGATATTACACGAACAATGTAGCAACAAGAATAGTATTACTGGTGACCGGCTTTACGAAAATGCCCCTCGGGACGGAGGAGGAGGAGGAGCGTCGCCGCCATATCTGCCGCCGGGAGAAGAAACGGAACACCACCCATTCATTGACTTCTTTAGTGGAATCTAAATGGACGTAGGATATGAATGTGACACTGCTGCTTGGTGCTGACAATGTTTGACTGGTGATAACTCTCATGCATGCATGGATGGATGCCAATATATGGCTACTTACTACTTCTTCAATTCAAACTTTTTCTGTTTGTTTTTTTTCTTCTTTTTTGGGATTCTTTTTTTATATTTATTGGTGGGGTGGATTTTTTTGGCATAGAGCTCTAACAATGGAGAGATATTGTGTGTTTGTTTATTTTAATTATTTAATGGAGAAAAGTCTAATTCTAGTGACTTTTGATGGGATTTTGAAGTGGGATTGGGCTGAAGGGCTGATTTCTTATTTCCCATAAGAAAAGCCCCTAATATAATTTGTCATCTTCTCATAATTAATGACTTAGCTTCGTGGGCTCGATGCAATGCATGCACATGTATTATTACCGAGTACGACCACTGTGTGTAGGGAGACTCATAATTGATGGAGTATTTTTATTTAGTGTTCAAGTTGAGCTCAAGAGGAACTGCTATTAAAATTATAAAGGAATACTCCCTTCATTCCTTTGAATTCTTTCTATCTCTACAATTCATTTTGTCTAAAGGAGTATAAAAATTTACAATGAATATGATTAAAATGTAGAAATTTTACCAAATTATTAGTATTGAAAAATATGTTTAATGTATTATTTTTAATAAATTTTTGTTAATATATTTCAAGAGATATTATTAGTCAAACATCATGCTCGAAAAAATGAATTGGACAATTCAAAAAGAATGGAGAAAGTAAAAGTACGTAATGAATACATGGTCGATTCTGATGATTCGATGGTCGTGATCGAGACAAAAAAATAGAATTTCACTCTAATTAACAGATAAAATTATGTTAATAATTTTCTTTAAAACAATAGTTAATATTATAGTAATACACATAACAAAATTTTAGTGTTATAAATAACGTAATACCCACCTTAAAAAGTTAATTTTTTAATATTTTATTAAATAAATTTATATTATTATTTGTAAAAGAGTAATTCTATAATTGGTTCTATATAACAAGAGTTTTTATATTTAGTCCTCTTTTATTAAATATTACGATCGTGGTCCTTTTTATAGATATCTTTTCACGGATTGTGTTTTTTTACCTACTACCATGTTGGTGTTATATTGAAGAGACTAAGATTGTAATTTCCCTATATTCATATATATATCTTTCTTATCATAGTCAATGTCTTTATTATCATAGTCAATTTCACATGTACAATGTCTCATTACCACAGTGCAAATTCCTATTTCAAGAATAAAAACATGAAAGTCCTATTTTGATACTTTTCTCTATGTTTTAGTCCTATTTAGGCCAGGGTGATTTTATAGTTATATAAAACAAATGAGTAATACTATTTTATACTCCGTAAAATATGAATGGACTCTATGAATAATTAAATGGATGAATGAATGGATTAAATGGGTTGTGAGTGTTTGTTTAAAAGATAAGGTATCTAAATACACATGATGTGAATGAGAGAGAATGTTTGAATGGTAAGATAAAGAATGGAGATGCTCTTAGCACACGCTAAAAAAATGGATTAACCTGCGAAATCTAAAGTATTCGAATTTCATGAATTGGGTATCTTCAATTAAGCGAGGCAACTTCTCTGAGAAGTTTCTATGGTATAAACTAGCCGAGTCTCGATCCTAAAAATAGTATTGAATGGTTGATAGATTTAGGTCATGTTCTTTCCAATTTATTTATTTATTTATTACTTATTCTTTTTGAATCAGATGAGATGAGGCCAAATCCAATTCGATCTGAAATAGCTTTAAAAACAATTGCATTTAGATTCGATCTGAACTTATTTCAACCTAATCAGAACCAATCAGATCATGTAAAGAGAACGTGGCCTTATTCCGGTCAATATAATTTAGTCTCATAAGAACTATTCTATTAAATTGGTTTTGATTGTTTAATATTAGTTAATAATATATTTGCCCTTGAATATTTATCTAGTTTGAGTTTTTAAAATTAAATTGGACAAACCTATATGAGTAAATTTCATAAATGATCCCCAATTACATAAATTGTCATAAATAGTCCTTTATGCCAGAGATAAGAATTTTTTCAACAAATAGTCTTTGATTCTTTGAATGCTGGTTATAGAATATTTTTCAAAAATTGATGACCATTTATGAAATATCTAAGAATTGAAGACTAAATATGAAAAATTATTTATAATTAGGAACAATTTATAAAATTTAGTAAACTTATATTATCAATTAATTACAAGTTTTGTTGTATTTTAGTACAAAATACATTCATTAGATTTTTGTTTTAGAAACATTCGAAATAAAGTATGAATATGTAACACAATTAAATGCAGTTGGCTATTAAAGTGTATCCAATTTGACATTAAAAAATCAAAGTGATATTCGATTGAATTAAACACATCAAAACCAAACTAGAGAACTTATTAGATAGACCCAGCCCATTAACCTACGGAAAAAGGTAGTCCAAGCCCATAACAAACCAAACTTATACTCTCTATCTCCCGAAAATTTTATTGATTTTGACTTTTGAAAGGGAAGATATAGAAGTTTGTTCAAGGCGAAACGACGTCAACTGAAACAAGGTTGGCTCAGAAAATGTCAAAACGGGTAGAGTGTATAAAATAATTGAGGTAGGTTCAGTTAGATTTAAGAAAAGTAGGAGCAATTGTGTTCATTTAGGCAAAATTGAAATGTTTTTTGGGACGGGTAAGAAGTAAAAATTGAAATGTTTTAAGGGAGAGATATAATATAATTCTTTGAGTAAGAATTGAACTTAGTTTGAATCTTGACAAGTGTGCTAAGGAGGCAACTAATCCAACTATGTTAAACATATGACTTCTGTAACTCTGTAAGTATTAGATGCAAACTCTATCTATAACCAATTTATGATTAAAATTAATTTTATCTTCTCTCAGTGATCGTTCAATTGGATCTAGGGACACTCGGATGGGGCCCATCTATTTTAGTAAAATTTTTTGATGCCATGCTTGTTCTATAGATAAAGGTATTTGTACCCCAAGAATTTGTATCCCAAAAATTTATGGATATGCTCGTTGGTGCATATCTTTGGTGTACAAAGGAAGTAAAAATTTTGGTGTGCATGTAGCATGCTTCTTGTTTTAAAAAATAATTGGTCGATCATATTTTCTCTCTATACGGGAATGTAATTCTCCACATCTCTTCTCTCTAAACAAGCTTCTCACGATTCCCCTTCTACGTCATCTTATTCCCATTCTTGTCTCTTCCCGTAGGTATGCCTTTAGTAATAGTGAAATTTGCACTAAATAAGACTAAAACATAAGTTATTTCTTAACGCAGAAGTTAATTTTTTCTATTCACTAAATAGTACTTAATAATGTCTAGTGGGAGGAATATAATCCAGTGTTGTTGGACATTTACTCGAATAATGACTAATGGATAATGATCAATCGTCCTATGTTGGAAAATAAAAATATATAGTCTTTTATTGGGAAAGTCAATATGTTTTAGTCATATTTGGGTAAATTTCTCTTAGTATGTCCTTCTTGGTTCTTCTAATTTTGATTTGTACGGAGTACTTATCTTCAATGTAACATTTTAATCATTATAATCTTTATTTATATTTAGATCTGATCTATATTTTAAACATATGACATTCTAAAACTATATTTCAAACTAAACTTATCAAAATTAAATTTATATCACAATTGATACATTTATTTTAAATTTGTGATCAGCATTTAAAAGTTAACCATCTAAGTCAAAATTTGAAGAATCAATTGGAATTTGGGATGAAAAGAAGAATTTTTATTTTTTTTTTATTTTTTTGGAGAAGTATGATTTTGATTACAAATGTTTGTGGGGTCAAATTTAGAAGTGAGCTAGGTGTAGTTCCAATATGTACTGTTTATATAGTCGCACGTGAAAGCTTCTCTTTAATAAAGCACTGGCCGTTCTCTCTCACTCTCAACTTTTCCCTTTTCTCTTTCATATTGGTGAAACTTTTTTTGTCGAGTGTGATTCCTAATATATTACGGAGTACATTGTTATTCTCCGCGTTAAAAAATATTTCTTCTTTTATTTTTTTCACTTCCAGCGATACTTCTACTTTCTAGTAAAAAAAATTTCTCTAATTTATTTTATCATATTTGTCATATCATACTTTTTCTCTAATAATCTATTTATCACATCAAATAACAAAATTGGGGGCAATTATGACCACGATCACCGCTTGGGGGTCACGCTAGGTGTGGAATGGGGAAAGGGGGGTGATAGGGGCATGAAGGAAGATCACCACTCCCTCCTCACGCATCATACCACATTGCTTCAGGTCTTCTTCATAAAATATTTATGCATTATTTGGATAAAAAGAGAAAATGAGTGGAAAGATAATGGATGGAAAGAAAATAGATAGGAAAGAAAATGAAGAGAAAATGGAAAGAAAATGAATGTTGTTTGGATAGGTAGAAAATAAAGAGAAAAGGTAAGAGGAAAGAAAATGTATTAAAATAAAAAGAAAATTTTACCCTTATTCTACATGAAAAGTGAACACAGTGGAGGGTAAAAGTGTCATTTCCAAACATTCTCTCCCTTTGGCCAATTTTCTCGTTCCTAGAAAAGAGAAAATTTTTAACATTGAGGTGAGAGTCAATTTCCATTATCACCCCATTTTCTCTCGCAAACAAACAAAAGAAAGTTTTTAGGAATTGTATTTTCCCCTAGCCTTTTCTTTTCCTCTAATTTCACCTCATCAAAACACAAGCTTAACTTGTAAAAGTAAAGTTTTTTAAATAATATAATACTTCTTCCGTCCCTAAATAGATTACAATTTTTTTTTCTCTCCTCTCAATAACTTTTGTTTCTTTACACGATTTTATTAAGTATTTGATAAAATAAAATATTCTTGTCACATCTTGTTTTGTATAACTTTTGACGTAGTTTTTTAATATGTAATTTTTATATCTTATTGATATACCAATTTGTAAATAAAATAATTTCAAAAAGTAAAAAATTTCACTTCGTAACCCGTAATTTGTAATCAAATTGGGGACAAAGGGAGTATGTAAGAATATTCAAATAATTTTAAAAATAGCAATAAGGAGAGATGCA